TAATCATTTTAGACTCTCCAACAAATTGATGATAAACTTGATGAAGTAACTCAAGGTATAAACTTTATAAAATCTCATATAGCCGAAAAAGGTGTTGTCGAGGCAATTGAAATTGATCCAAATGAATTAGTTGATCCTAATATTCAAACAACTAGAGGAAAAATCGTTAAAAAGATTTATAGATCATTAGATGAGGTTGCATGTAAACCTTCTGATGCTCAAAATGAAACCGAATTGACAATCCTCAGAAAATTAGGAGTATCACCTAAAATTCTCACATTTTATGGTCTTTCTATCATTAATAACTCTAAATATATGATTTTTGAATGGGCTAAGTACGGAAATTTAAAGGAACTTTACAATAACTATGATATTCCTTGGACTAGAAAAATACGAATCGTCAATGATATAGTTCTTGGTCTTCTCTTTTTACGTACTGTAAATATTCTACATCATGATCTTAGATGCGAAAATGTTTTTGTAAGTATAATTAAATAATAATAAAGTATTTAGCATATCAAAAAATAATAATTATAACGTTAAATAATAGGTACTAAATAATTTGAGTGTAAAGCTTGGAAATTTTGGATATGCACGTGAAACAGGTGGCCCTGTTATAAAGCCTCCAAAATTGGCAACATACATTGTTCGTTGGATGGCTCCTGAACAAATCGAAAAATATACAGGTAAAAATTTAAACAAAATATATACATTTAATTGTGAAATGTTTAGGTAATTATAAGTATATTTGATTTGGATTTATTTTACTTTCTATCTCCTCTGATCCTATCTTCTCTGATCATTATTAGTTTTGGAATGCTCTTATGGGAACTTTGTTATGAAAAATTGCCTTACGAAGACTGGGGTATTAAACGAATATCTGATCACGTTTTAAATGGTAAACGAGAAAAGCTTTCAAAAGGAAGTTTCATAAATCCTAACGATAAAAAAATTCAACTAGAGTTTATTAAAATCATTCAAGATGGTAACTTTTATCAGGTTTTTTTTATTTTTATTTTTTTGGGTTATACTAATTTTAATTTATATTTATTTATTTAATTGATAAAAAGCATGGCATCATAAACCAGAATTACGAATAACTATTCCTACACTAAGGAAAAAACTTGAAGAATTAGCTACGGAATTTCCTATTTCTTTTGATGCCCCACAACTTCTTAGAGATAAAATATTAGATTTTGATGGAGAGAAGGCTATGCCAAAGTTTAAAGGCAATCCTGAAATTGAGAATGATGAAATTCCCGAAGTAGTTCCTATTAGATCTCTTGAAGATGGTATAAATATGCATAAAAACAAGGAATATGGTGGTGCATGGGAATGCTTCAATCAAAATGCTAAGCTTAATAATCCATTGGCAAAATTCTGGCTAGGATATTATTTACTTTACGGGCATCATGGAGAAAAAGATCCAATTAGGGCCAGACAGCTTTTTAAAGAAGCTGCTGATGAACATGATCATTCTGAAGCACAGTGTCGATATGCTGTTTCATTGCTTGGTGATATTAAAACAGTAACTAATAAAACTGAAAAAAGCAAATTATACAAGGAAGCCCTATATTATCTGGAAATGGCAGCCGATAATTCAAGTATTGATGCAATGTATTATTTGGGAGATATTTATTTGAATGGAAAACTTAGAGTAAAAAAGAATGAAAATCGTGGACTAAATTATTTAAGAGTAGCCGCCAGTCATAATAATGAAAGAGCGATCTCTCTATTAAAAAAACATGATAATTTAGATTAAATAGAATAATTTATATCAAAAAAATAATTCTTTATATCATATTTTAATTCTGCAACATTTTTTTTTTATATATAAAATTTCATCATTAAACAAAACTACAACATAATTCAAAAATGAAAAATTTTGAAATATATGGACAAGGGTCTAGATTGTTTTTTTTTAACACGGCTAAAATATCGCTGGCATTTACTTTATTTATTAAATAATTTGACATACGGGCCTTTTAGGTCGCTCTGTTTATAAATTTTGCATAGAACTGATCAGATTTTGTTGAAGACTCCAGAGCCTATTAAAGACTCAATATTGAGAAATTACACTATTTGCTTCGTGTTGTTTTTCCTAATACCCTATACTACCTATGTTTATTAATGAGAACAATGACTAGTGATGTTAATTAATTTTAATAAGCAGAATAGTTTTGTGCAAAAATATTTTAATTATAGTAATTGCGAAAATTGTAATATACTGTTACAAAAAATGACAACATAATTAATTAGTGCCATACTTTTATATGTAGTAGTCTAATTTACAGTTACGTATGTTTATAGGTTAATATTGTCATTATGTCGATCGTTACGACATTTTCGATGCATTACAAACTATGACTATATTTTTGCATAAGCTATTAGGATAACTATAAATAGAGTTATTCAGGGTATATAAAGAAAGATTCTCTTTTTGCTCAAATCAAATAAATAGGAAAATATCTTCTGGTGATAGTTACTTGTTCGCTTTTATTAAATACTTAATGCTTATGACCAACGGTTGAATTGGCGAGAGTCTCTCCCTTGTCGTAACAATACCATATTAAATTTAGTAGTTAAAATTCTAAAATATACGTACATACAGCGTTGCATATCAGATATAGTGATAGTGCCCATGATATAAATCAAGATTGACGTAATTAATATAAAAAATTTTAATTAACGTAATTGTTAGAATAATAAATCTTTGAATTCGGACGAAGAAAAATCCTGCTGTTCGATTAAATAATAGAAGTATCGTTGAAATAAAATTTCGCAATGAATTTTTTTTGTTAGAATACGAAAGGCGATTTTGTAACCAAAATTTTAAGTTACTGGCGATTTTTGATTTTTTTTTTGAAAATTTATGTTACACCTGATCTTATAATTTGATTGGTAGACGAAGAGTGGCGTAGTCTACTTTGTCCAATCAGAGACTGCATTTACAAATGTCCAATCAGAACTGGGGAGAAATTAGGGATCCCTTGAATTCGAATATATCAAACTTATTTTATTATAATCAATGACTGAAGAATCATTTTCAATATATCATTCAGCTCCAATAGTCAATTGCAAGTTAATGTGTCGACAAAAAGCAGTATTGTAAAAAAAAATAATTTGCTTGGAAATATGGATTATCCCTTAATCCGTATTCGGGGCAAATTTGCCCCGATTTTCAGATTCCCGGCAGATATCTCACGCTACCATTAA